TTTTTTTATAAATTTTAACAGTCACATAATTCCGGTACCTATTTACTTAAAAAGTAATTTTTCTGTTAATGAAGTTTTCCAAGATTTCAATCAGCTTGTCTGGCTGTAAATACTCTATTGTTTTAAAACGGGTATATAAAAAAAAAATTAAGCTGAAAAGTACTCATATAGCAGACTATTTTTTATAATTGGTTTTTTTTTCAAATAAAAGATTAAATTAAAGAAATAATAAATTATAAATCCCAAAAGTTTTGGGAAAATTTAAACGGCGACAACTGGAAATATCTTTTCCAAAAACTTTTCTGGATAGAAAACCTCCAAAAAAATTATGGAAACCCGTTTTCACCTTTTTACATTTGGGGCTGGGAAAAAGTTTTCCCTACTTTCGTAGAAAATTTAAAAATAAAAAGGTACATTTTTTGGCCCTAAATGAGTGAATTTTTTTTTACATCAAAAGGTTTTAGTGGTTAATTTTTCCTTTTTTCCCTTTTTTTTTTTCTTTGGCCCTTTTTCCCATGTTCTTGGCCCTTTTTTTAGGACCCATTTTTCTTATTTAAATTTTGGGGCTTTTTATGGTCTTTTTTTTTAAAGAAACTTTTTCCTGGCCGGGGTTAAATTTTATTCCACACCCAAAAAAAATTTTTTTTTAGAAAAAGAAATTAAACAATCCTTTTTGAGGTTGGAACCAATTTTTTAAAGAAAAACTTTGATCAATTTAAATTTTTGAAAAAAGGCTTTTTGTTTTACCCCGAAGGGTTTTTTTAATGCTTTTAATTAAAAAATTTATGCCCAAAATGGGGCTTTCTAATTTTCATTTAAAATTTAAAATTAAAAAGGGTTTTAAAATTTAATTAAACACTAATCCCCAAAAAAAAATTAACAAAATTTTAAGGGTTTAAAAAAAACCTTTTTTTTTTAACTTTTAAATTAAACTTTAATACTAAAATCAAGTTAAAAATATTTAAAGGTCCCATGACCCTCCCCAAAAACCTCATTTTGGAGTTGGATATTATGAATAACCTCTTAGATTTGGGATACTGAATTGTGTGTTTTTTAAAAGGGGAAATCAGACCCAAAAGTTTCAGTGAAAATTTAGCAAAAAGTTTTTCATCATTGTCCCTCTTAAAAAACAAGTGAGAAAGTGTTTAACTCCCCTTTGCCTAGTATTTGGAATTCCCCCCTTCTCGGAAATTGAAAAGACCCTCCTTGTGGTAAAAAACCTTGGGAATTCGAGCAGGCTCTATTTGAACCATATTTCAGACTGACAATGGTTGTTGTTTGAAAATTGTTGTGCATAGACGAAAAACAAACTATTTAAAAATACTTTATCGGTTAATCAAAAGTAAATAAATTGTTCAATTTATTATATTGGCTGAACTTGGGGGTTACCTCCCCCTAAAATTAAAATTTTTGTAAAAAGCCAAATTTTATAATAAAAAATTTTTAAATTATATCTAAGAATATTTTGGCCCTTTTTTTTCTAAATTGTTGAAATTTTTAAATTTCCTATATTTACTGCAATTTTAAAAATCCCAAAACAATCGGGGTTATTTTTTTTCCCCTAATACGGTAAACTGGGAAAAAATCCATTTTGTTTGATCGTGTTTTCCCGGACGAAAACTTTCGAAAAGGGCGAAAACACGAAAAACACTTTGATTATGGGGGCATTTTCTTTTTCTTTATTGACTTTTTGGGGATTTTTTCCCTGTACAAAAAAGTGCACCTTTCCTGTCTTTGTAAATTAGGAGGAAAATGCGGAAAAGACGACAAAAAACGGAAAAAATCAAAATTTGGGAAAATTTTAATTTTTTTGTGGTGTTTGGGGTAAAAAAAAGTCTAAACCCGCCACCATTTTTTTAAGATTGTTATAAAAATTTCCTGTCCCTTGAAGTTCAAAACCCCCAAAAAAGGGGGCTGCGTTATATTTGATTTAAAAAAAAATTTAAATTTTTTTTTGGAGATGAAAAAATTTTTTAAAGGACATTTTTTAATTAAAAATCTTTTTTATTAGCAATTAACGAAAACATTATTTTATTTATATAAGGGTTTTTTTTAACCCTCATCTTACTAAAAGTATTTATTGATAAGTAGCCTTGCAAAATTTAAAACGTTTGATGTGTGTTGGGGAAATTTTTATTTGTTATTTCTTGATTAAAAACTTAACTTTTTTGTAACCAGAAAAACTCATTTGCCCAAATTTTGATCTTTTTTCTTCTTTTGCTCTGTTTTTTAATTAATATGCTTTTAAAAATTTAAGTTATTTAGTATTTTGCATAGAAGTCAAAATACTACTTTGTTTACATTTTGCTACATTTACGACACGTTACTGCATTATTAAAACATTATTAATCACATGTTTGACATAGCTTAAGAATTATTTCTGATGTATTATATGTCTTTAAACTGTGTAAAGTTAGTTGTGTCTACCAATATCTGAATATAGGCTTCTGATATGGCATTAATTGGCAATTTTTCTCAAAAAAAAGTTATTTGAGCTTTGAGCTGTTGCTAAGTGGTACGGTGCCTGGCTGTCTCTCAAACAGGGAATCATGGGTTCAAGCCCTAATACTGTCACGGCCACGTTTCCTCACATGACACCAGTACCGGTTAGTCCTAGGAAGCGGACTCAAGGATGGTCCAAATGAGCTGCAAGGTTTCTTCACACTCGAGCTTGAAGACATAAATAATTTAAACTAAATCAAATAATAAGGGCTGCAAAATGTATTTTCAGAAATACAAAGAAATGCATTAGCTTTCATGTTGCACATAATTTTCTTTGATCTTCCCAGATAATTAGTTATTGATGAAATTTGTGAAAATGAGATAATTTATATCTGAATTTTGTAAAAAAAAAAGAATCAAAACAGATAACAAATTTTGCTGGCACGTCTAATTAAATAAGGTCTTTTTTGCTTGGTAAAAAAAACTTCGTTACGGTGAGCGCAAGTTTTTGCTACATTTCTGTATAAATTTATATTGAAATCAGAGGGAATTAATAATTTTAATAACAACAACAAGGACAATCAAAGAAATTGAAAATGTGGATAATGTACATAGAAACTTTTCTGTGTTGATTTACTAGTGATATCAAAAAGCAACCAATCAACAGACGCGGCGATTCATATTTCTTTCTAGACATACATAAATTTAGGCAAATAACTTTATTTTATACATATGACTTTATTATACAGTAATTTCTATAAGGTATAATAAAGAAAACAGCAAATGTATGCTTGTCTCCGATGAATTATTAGCAGACGCCGCGGCATATTTTTTGGCGGGATGAGGTCGGCATGATATGGTATTATTATATAGATTAGTCAATTCCCTTGCCGATAGAAATTGTCATGGTTAATCTCATTTCAATCTACAGACACGTGCCGATGCTTGATTTAAATATTTCATGAATCATGCGCTGGGATAGGTCACGTGGGATTCTTATAATAGATTAATCCCTAACCTGCTGAATTTGTATAATGGATTTTCCCAGCCTGCTTTATGTTTGGAATAGTCCATTCAAAGTCAAGGGGTGATACAACATCAAAAAGTTACCAACGGAGTGCGGAGTCTGTCCGGCGGCGCTATACTGGTGGCAAGAATCAAAAATAGCATTCGTTTCTAGAAAGTTACGGCTTGAATACAATTCTTTCGGAAAATTGTAATTCAAAGTACTTTGATATATTAAAAGTGGAACAATGACTTTTTCCACAAGCATTTATAGGAAATTTTGAAATTTGATAAAAAAAATCTCCTTGAAAATATGGCATGAAAAAGTATCTTATCTAATTAATATTAAAGATTTATAATAATTATTAAAGTGCATGTAATCTGATATTGACTACACATGCATAAATAAAAAATGATTTATCGTTTATTTCACAAGAAACATGTATGCACATATCCATACGTGCAAAATCTAAATAAAAATGATGATGATATTCTATGTTATGAACCATTTATCCTATAGATAGTGTTATGCTATGCTATCCCATGCTTAATCTATGCAATGCTATGCTATGCTATGCTAAGCTATTATATGCCATGACATGATGTGTTGTGCTGTGCTTTGCTGTGCTTTATTTTGCTGTACTGTGCTGTGCTGTGCTGTGCTATGCTATGCTATGCTATGCTATAAAACTTTAATCCTAGAGAATTCTGACGATGATCATAATCAGATATTGATATGATAGATACGCACGTGATATGGTGTATACGCACGTGATCAATAAGTAACTTATATCATAGTTTATATTGATGTTAATAATAAGATATTAACCTGATGTCATAGAGAACATGTGATATTTGTTATATGCTATGACAAATATAATAATTATTATTGTTGATAATGACCTGGTAAAGGCCTGGAAAACACATGTTATATTTATTTTATTGTGTAGAATATGTTATTATATTCAAGATAACGACACTGATGGGATTAAAATTATTACAATATATTCTGAAAGTGTATTGACTTTTAGTTTAAGTGTGCTATTAAAATATTCAAATACAATGGATTAAACACCTTTCAAAAATTTATGAACAGAAATTTCAAAATTGAAACCTAATTTAACGTGTATTCTTGGGTTATTTTAAATAAACATCGGTATTTTCATAATTTTTCTCTCGATATTTATGTTGTATAGGTATTTTTCTAGATATTTAGGCTATAATTATATCTATATTATATTATATCTCTATTATATTATATTATGTTATGTTATGTTATGTTATGTTATGTTATGTTACGGTATGTTATGTTATGTTATGTTATGCTATGCTATGCTATGCTATGCTATGCTATGCTTGCTATGCTATGCTATGCTATGCTATGCTATGCTATGCTATGTTATGTTATGTTATGTTATATTATATTACACTACGCTACGCTACACTACACTACACTACACTACACTACACTACACTACACTACACTACACTACACTGTATTACATTATTCCGTCAACTTGTAACTAATGATTCCTTTTTTCTCTCTTTTTCAGGACTTTAAATCAACAAGAGATAAATCAAAATATTCTGACCGTCCTTGACCTTTATAAAACGGGCTGGTCACAGTGGCCAGTTGACCTTTGCTCTAGCGGACATGTCTACTCAACAACATCCTGGACGTCAGTTTGTGGAAAGTAGAGCATCTCCAAACAAGCCAAAAGATTATCATAGACAAAAAAGTCTAGAAATACAAGATCGTGAAAAACGTGAGTCTTCAGCTAAAACGGCAAGAAGTCTTGACAAAAGTAAATTAAGTAGCGGTAAACATACGCCCGAGGCGGTAATTCCATCAATTGACCAACAAAAGAACAGAGACAATCAGTTGAAAAGGAGGACTGAACAAACAACTGAAAAAGTTAAGCTCAAATCATATGTTGATGATAAGATTCAAACAGGCGTATCTCCTACTAAACGTGATTTAAAAGATAGTTTAGATACTGGCGTTAAGTCAAAGAAAAGGCCTTTGGTTAAACAATCAACTCATGGTAAATTTGAATTAAAGGCAGGTGAAAATGTAACTGAACAAGACAAATCACCACCTACGATACAGGTAAAAAATAACGAACCTATTTCCAAACCGAATCAGCCCAAGGATACTGTGAAATCACACCGTACTCTTCCGAATACCCCTTTTTCAATTTTTCGCCGGAAGGTATCGGCTGATGAGCAACCAGATGAGACTTGCTATGGATCTATGCAAAATTCAGGACCTATACTTAGTGTACAGAATAAAAGTGACCAGCCGCATGAAGAAATTGTGACCGCTAAGGGTGAGCACATTTTGCGAATCAACGAAAAGTTCGCAATACCTGATTTCCGGTCTAAGACTGATTTAAGCAGACGACAGTTTTTTTCTAGGGCTAATTCCGACACGTTGTCCGTTCACGAGTTTATCCCATTACGTAATATAAGAGCAAAGCAATTCCCGTCGCATGGTACTCTTAATACACGGGAATATGAGAAGAGGTACAAAGAGAGGATAAGATTAAAAGACAAATCATTTTCTACGGAAGACAGATACAGTGACAGGGGATACAGTGGAAGCAGAAGTGATTATCCTGACGGTAAAAAGTCGGTTGCATTCTGCTCAATACATTCTTCTAACAGCAGTTACGATGGAAATGATAAAACCAGCATTCCTGGCACAGAAAATGATTTTCTAAAGCCATTATCTAAGGACGTACAAAACAAACAATTTCTGTCCCCGGAAAGCGTTCCCATGCTTGAAAAGTCGAAGAGCCTACAACGCCTTGCTAACCAGAGTTCGACTGAAACTAGCGGTCTTGGTGAAACAGTTACATCAGGCCTGAGCTCCCAAGAGAGTATTTTAAGTTATTACAGCGGTGCCAGGACTGGTGTTACGGAACAAGCTTCTGCTCATCAGGATCAAGGTATCGATTTGCGAGAGGATACCAGGAATATACGCCACGAAGGTAATGGTACGTTTGGGACACGAAATATTGATTCCGATAATATAATTAATCATACAAATGAGCTTAAGAAAAGCTATAGAGATACGTATTGTGTTGAATCTATCGACAAGAGTGTTGTAAGTATATCGGTACTTGATACAGAGGGGAAACAGATAGAAAAAAGTCATGGTGCTAGTGGTATTACTAGTTCAGATGGACAAAAGGAGATAAAAGGTGTAAAAATGACTACAAAACCTCTTGATCCTTTAGGTAAGCGTGGCTACAAGCCACCCTTGGATTTTAGGAGCAATGATGTCAAGAAACCGGATAATCTGCCGATGTTTAGTGCGAATGTGGGACCGGATTTTGATTCTTTATTCACACAGAGCAAGAACCTGAAAGTTCCACCAGCTGCCGTTGGAATTCAAATTGATCAAATAAACAACGAATGGAATAAACACAAACGAAGTTCTTCCATAAAAAGTCGATCATCGCAGGGATCGTTCAGATCACGATCTGGCTCAACTCGAAGATCAAAACGCTTCCTAACCCAGTGCGAGTCTCAATGGATGAAATGGGGACGGGAGAGGCGCCAGTCTTTCAGACGGCGCATGGAACAATTAGAAAAACCACCGGAACCGGAAATACCACGTGCTTCCACGCCTGTCAAAAAAGCGCGCCAAGAAGGATTAATGTTTGTTCACCCGGATTTAGGTAGTAAATACATCTCTGAAGACGATATAAATTACATAAAAAGACATAAACAGGAGCGTTTAAAAACGTGTAAACTCATCGAAAAATCAAAAACAAAGCTTCATCACGAAGCACACGATATAAATCGTCTGACTCCAGACGAACTTATGACTTTGTCCCGCTTCTGGGAACATCGTGTGTTCGTGCGCACGAGATACGTGTCAATTCTGCTCAGTCTGGTGACGACAGTGATCTATATTCTCAGTATCTGCTCAACACAGTGGGTAACATACCCATCACCAGGGGGTAAGTTTGATCCTCATTTATTATCTTCTACTTTATATATATTTAAGCTACTGTTAGGATATCAATGAGATATATAACATATCACACTGTTTTTTATTGAATGACATGATTTTGTAAAATTTCGATTTATACATTTACATATCGAAATATTAAGCGCAAAATTACAAGTAAAAGCGGATGAATACATATTTGTATTTTGGCGTCACGTTTACGTCATGTGACGTGACTAATGAATAGTCTACACAATTCAGCTTAAAATAAAAAAAATATGTGTTTACCTTGAGAAATGGCTCAATATGGCTGAATATACGTGGCTTTATATATATTCAAACTGGCATTGTAAGAAAATGGTCCTTTTTAAATTTGGTATTGTTACTTTAAAACGTGTGTAACTAATATAATGCAATACTTAATGAAAACACGCAACATATGTGATGAATATATTTTCCTACAGCGTGAAAAAAGAAGATGTTGCATCATTTTACCTCATATATTATGATAAATCAAATTGATGACACTGACAATTTATCATAATTATGTAACAGTCATGGTTGCTGTGTCATATTACGCATTTTCATGAATAATCAATATGATCCAAGAACTTCTGACCACATTTTTTTCCATTTCTTTCTTTCTTTTTTCTTTCTATTTCCTTTTTTCCTTTTTGTCTTCCTTTTTTTTCTTTTGACTGATAATTATTTCATTTCACGTTCCTTTACATCTTAAGATTAAAGAAAAATATTTTAAACCAAAGTAATTGTCGACGCTGGCTAAAAATACCATAAAACCTTCATTAAATAACCACCCTTTTTATAAAAACCGTATACAGAAAAGCTTTTAATTAATGGGTCAATTTTAACTGTTTCAAGATGCACAACCCTAGTTCGGAATGATTTATTTTGAGATATCTTAATATAGTAAATAACCTATAATTTGTTGCTGATGTTGTTATTGTTTTCCTATTAATGACTGTGTATTAGATATATTCATCCAATAATGCGACGACATGTGTCGCTACTGAGTGTCAAATACGTGAATTTTCTGACGATACCTAACGTAGTTATTGATAAACCTCTAGAAATTATATATAAATATTTAATTGCTTTATACATTATGCTCATACGAACTGGTTCCGCTATCTCGACCCGGTGAAATCGTCTTTTCTATTATTTTTTTTTATATTTTCCGATAAAGTAGTGTACCGTAAAATGTACGGAAACAAAGCGGAGACATGTTTATGAGAGAACATGTACTTTGAACATCAATTGCATTTTTTTATTTAAATTTGGTGAAATCTTTTGTTCTGTCAAAGTTTTTTCTTTCGTGTACAAATATACGAAAAAAGGAAAGGATTCGTCCACTTAAACCTTCTATGCGGTCGAATCTAAAGATTACCTGAGCGGTTGGTAGCGATCTGTTTTAAGAGGGGATATGGGGTATCTTACTTAATCATACCATATTCTTCAAACATAAGTATGACTTAAGATCGAACCCGAAATGGTACGTCTTTGTCACCAGCATAAGTCGTGCAGCCTAAACTTGATCTGACTTACTTTAACTTGAAGTTGACATGGCAATTTTCTACTATTTTCATAGACATTTGATAAGGTCTTGCTTTTATTGATATCCACAAAAATTGAAAAACTGGACAAAAAAATCAGCAACGCAAAACCAGTAACACAAAACCGATAAAAACAAAAACCTTTTATCCTCAGGAAATGCTGAACAAGGCAATTTATTAATCTCTTCATTGAATAAATGTCAAATTATTTCAACTAAATCAGAATTCTGTACGCACGATTAGTGATATCTATGAAATATGCATGAGCGCTCAGTCTTTCCGTGTTTTTCTTCCCGCCTTGATGCAATTTTCCGCGAATAAAAATCAGAAATATATTTCGTGACAAATAATGCTTACATTTAATGTATTTCGTAATAAATCCATAATGCAGGAACTGAAATGAAAGAACTAATTTGAGCCGCGTCACGACAAAACCAACATAATGGGTTTGCGACCAGCATGGATCCAGACCAGCCTGCGCATCCGCGCAGTCTGATCAGGATCCATGCTGTTCGCTTACAAACCCTATAAGAAGTAGAGAAACTGATAGCGAACAGCACGGATGCGCAGGCTGGTTTGGATCCATGCTGGTCGAAAACCCATTATGTTGGTTTTGTCGTGACGCGGCTCATTTCAGCCTTATCTTTCAATTTATTTCGCCCACATATTCTGCTGGCTGTCCTCAGACGTAAAAAAAAATATTTTTATCTAACCTTACTACACTAAATATATATAAAATGGACTCGTCAATCGATTTCCGTCCATCAGTTTTTAGGGAAAATTTCAACATTTGCGTCCGCGCCGAAACGCGACGCCCTTTTTGGAATGAGAAAGGGCAATTGCAACTTCTCGGGCCTTTTCGTCGGTCATAATAGCCGATCATTCTGATTGGTATAATGGTGTTTGATTATCAAAAATGAAATGTCGCTATATGTACAATGAATAGCGAACTGGAGAATTTCTCCCATTCATAAATATTATTATACAATTCTGGTAAAAACCAATTAACCGTTGAAAAGTTTATAAGAATATATGGCCATCAGATGTCTACTAGTTCATCTTCACTTGCTGTATTTCTTGCTTGGACGCCCTTTGATGCTTTGCATCAATGCTTTTCTTGTTACTTACTGAATCACGAACAGCGTCTGCACGGATGTTCAAGCTGGTCTTGATCTTTGGTGGTGGTGGGTAATTGATTAAATCCCGAATCATGGCAGTAAGCCAGAACACAGTCCAGCCACAACATACAAGTACACATTGTCTTCACTTTCGCAAGAAACTGATAACTTCTTCTGTACATTCCAGAGCAGAGGTACAGTGCGAATGACCATAGTAAATATTACATGATCAATCACAACAAACTGAACCGCACCGTCCGGGAATCGAAATCGGGTTTCCCGATTCAAAGCTCTGCCTATTGAGCTTACCGAACGGTCTGCCCTGGGTCCGATGTTATAAAGAAATTCTCTCGGCTCAAACTCAAATCTCAGGTATTTGATTGGTCAGATACTGCAAAAACCATAATTTAACCAATGTTTGAACTTTCTAATGAAGTAAACATTTTATTAACAGTTTTGAGGCATTTGTCCCTTTAATGGTTAAAATTTCACGAAGTTAAGATTTACATTTTTTCATTCGCTTTTCTTCTTTTTTTTATATTTTCCTGTAAAAAGAATTCATCGTACATCTCATTTATTTTTAATTTCTAAACAAGAAAATTTGTGTTATTTTACTGTCTATCTTAGTGGAAATTGGAATGTCAACACGTGGCATTCGAATGATGTGTACTTCTGATCAGGCGCCTACACGACCAGGAACAAATGAATATTTTATTTCAGCAAGCGCTTTTACAATGCCACTACCACTTTCTACTATTTTAAAGAAAATTAAACTTTTTATATTATGAAAAAACTTCTTTACAGATTATAAATCAGATCATATAGTCGCGTATGTCCGTATGACTTAAAGGCACATTATGCTTTATTATTATGCGTTGTGTCATTTTTTCTTCTTCTTTTTAAATCATCACTCATAGCAAACAATAATTTTGTAACATTTAAATACATGTAACTGTTTTAGACATGTTAGATGTTATAATAAATGACATGAAGAAGTAGCGCTAAATGCGAAATTATTTGTCACCCTAAACTTTTTAAAGCAGCATGCCTTCAGATTCATGCTAATTTTCATGAAAAATTTAAAAATGCATTTAAAAGTTTAACATTGTGAAGTAAGAAAATAATTTGCACACACAACACTTGCAATCCATGTAAAATGCCAAAAAGGTCAAAATAAGCAAATTGCCCTTAATGCGTTAGTAACGCAGTAGAAATATGGTGATAAATACTGCAAAATCAGTCCTAAATAGCACATAACATGAAAATTATTACTTGAATCTTAAATCTTTTAACTTTTCTTAAATTATTAGTATATTTATCTCATGTTTAATTTTCTCGAAATAGTTTGACTCATCTGCAGACATGCTGCTTTAAGGCTGATAGATACTGATATCTTTTTAACAGATTCAGCATTGACATTTTCTTATTTATAAAATTAATCAAGATATAATGTTTAGAAATAAATAAAGCTAATTTCCACTATTTAAGAATCTCATATATTTAAATTTCTTCTTAATTATCCACGCTGTTTTAAAGAACTTAATATTTAAAAGGTATATAAAGCTACATGCATAGTATGTAAACTGTTATCTGAACAGTATTTGTTAATTAGTATCTTGATAATACAACCATACAAAAGTACCTAAACTTGAAAATTTATATGTTGTAAAATGAGCAGTTGTCGCATGCGCGTATTTATCGCTTTACTACGAAAAAGGCAGTTGAAAGAATCAAAAGAACGTTTTACTCTGATTCCTTATGTATTCTAGCGCATTGAGAAGCAGAGACCGTTTAAATGTGTGGGATCGCTACAGTATGGCCCTGAGGAATATGAATACGTTGTGGCAGTATATTTTTCTCTTTTTAAATGATGGAATATCATGCATATTACATTTATTAAGCCATCCATCTTGATTGATCTTAATCAGCTGTCTTACATGTATATATCTGGTTTGAATTTAGAGACTTAAAGATTAAGATTTTTAAAAAAGCATATAATGTGGTCGTGTGGAAAGGGAGACAACTGTAGACATCGCTTCATATGTTGATCACTTGGTTATTTCCCTTCAACAATAATCAGTCGGCTAAAATACAAACAGAAGCATTTTTTAATTTAAGCATTTTTATTTGATTTTAAATGTTGTTATTGGATTTTAAAAAGTCGCTACGAAAACTATTTTTTTCAACTAACAGTATAAGTTATTTTTCAGATACATGTACCAAATTAAATAAAATGATCTACGTTTTCTTTGCTTTAAAAATGTTGAAACAACAGATATAGGTTTTGAAATTAATTCTGATTTTCAACCCAAAAAGGATTTGTGATTTGTTCACTAAGAAGCATCAATGAAATTTTTAAAACCGATCTTGTTTCAATTTCAATTATATGATGAATTTGTAAAGAACCAAACATTAGAACTCAAAGAAGGCAACACCCAGCACCATGGTTTAATGTCCGCGAATTTTATCCCTTAGTAAACTCCACATGTCATGCAATCTTTTCTATACACACGACCAATCAACGCAGCGTGTATCAGTGGCTTTTTGGTAGCCGACCCTGTCAGTCCAGTGGCGTCATATTTAAATCCTCCGATAGGTGGCAGGTCGAGCTGGTACCCTGGTCCCGATAGCACAATCTGCGGCTGGATAAAGGGTGACGAAAAGCTTCCTTTGATATGAAAATGGGAGAAATGCGTGTGAGCGTTTAACACGTACTGTCCGCAACTCAACGGGTTTTTGGTTTTGCATTTTAACAAGATGCAGACTTGTTTAAACATCGGTTTATATGCTGTCTGTATCCCACTGAACACACCGAACGCGTACGTTTCGTAACTTTGAGCCTTTTTATAGTTCAGATAGCAACAAAATCCGTCCTGGCATACGGTGACAGTCCCCTCTGTGCCCTTTACGCGTACAAAGTTGTACCAGTCTTTGAATATTTCGGCTTTAAATTCGGGCAATGCCACAGCTTTCATATTAGGATGTCCGAACATCAGTGGATTCACGTCGCACGGGATTTTCTCGGGCAATTTCACATTTATTGGAACATCTCCTATTATAAGAATACCAGTAGGTGAAATAGGATCGTACACGTATTTAACAGGACCCACTGGGGTATAGAGGCCGCTCCCGTATACAAACACGTCACGGTTATGTGGATCCCGTATATTAGCGTGTAGGACGTTAACGTTGTGTCCGACGGCAAATGACGACACAAAACCTATGGAGGAATAGAGAGGTAATGCTTCGGGCCAGGCGGTCGGGAAAATTATATCTGTAACATTGTACTCTCTTATTAACTCGACAATAGGGTCATAAAATATAATGTCATTACATATAACTAGGCCGAACCTGCCAAACTTTGTGTCAAAATACACGTGTTGAGGGTGGGCAGGGGAGTTGAACTGAGGTTCAAGGTAGCGATTCTGTTTGTGGTATCTTGCTATGAAGTTTCCTTCTTTGTCGTAAGCGACATTGGTATTGTACTGGTACCAACCCTCTTTAGGGCATCGCGGATCACCCGGCTCACAAAGTTGTATGTCGCCCATGTTAGCGACTATGTACATTTTGTTCCTTTTTGCCATACAGCTAAGCTCAACTTGGATTTCGTCTTGCGGGAAACGCATCGGCTCATTGCACGGGTTCCACATGATAACGGTTGGGTCAGGTATTGGCTCTAGATAGTGCTTGATCACGTGACGATATCTCATATGATACCCGTACAAACTGTCTTCTCCGAACACCATGATGTCTACACCCTGAAAAATAATACTTATAATCAATACATGCTTCATGTAATATGAGCCGCCATATTGATATTTATGAAACAATGACGTCATCATTTCATGTGGCATAAATATACTAAAAAAAATATTTAGCAAAACTGGCGAAAGCAGGCGACAGCGTCGTCGGGTTTGTTACGATACTATCCGATTTATTAAGGTTTGTTATTTTTAAGATTAAATGTCGTATATATTCTAAAAAAATCGGCATATTTCGACATTTTCCGCGTCTTATTGTTATCAAATAAGCTTCGTAAATAACCAGAAACATATCTCTGTCAAATAAACGCTTGTTGGAAATGACATTAATGGTCCAATAAAATATACACTAATTTGCTTATTATAATTATACTATTTGGGGAAAATACCTTAATCGTGTTTTTTTTTTCTTTATTACATACTTCAACGTTATGGTACGTCACGTTACGTTCGTTTTATTTACTGTAAGATAAATTATTTAAAAACGCACTAACAAGCTGTCCAATTGCTATAAAGTTTTATGTGTACATTTATCTTATATAAGGTATTAAAATGTTTGTAACAGTGTAAAGATAAACATTTGATTTTGTATTTATTTCTAAAGTCTTCTGAATTAAAGCAACTAGATCATATACGTAGGTGATTTTTTACCGGGTTAACTCTTTATATTATTTGATAGGAGTTATCTCGTTACTAGACTAAGGTGGCGATATTAGCGATACATACGTTTTATTTTATGAATTTTAATAGAAAGAATTTATACATAATTTATTTTACTTCTACTTTGTCGAAAGATATAAGCTTATATCCATTTCTGCAACCAACTATTACTGAGTAAGCAATAAGTGTAAAGTTTCTTGATCTAGGAAACAACGTCTTGCCGCTGACGGGATTTGAACCCAGTCACCAACGCAACTATCGATTATTAACCCGGTGCTCTAACCATTCGGCAATACCGCCACAGAATAGAGTTTGACCAAGTACTATGTAAATGGGGAATAGATTTTCCGAGAATCTGTCATGTATTTGATTTATCTGTGCAAGCAAATATGCACAAAGACTATTTTTTAAAAAGTTTATTTTAAATTCAATCTTTATGTTAGCGGAAAGCTTTAAACTTCCGCAAAAAATATGAAATCAAAGAAAAATAATAATGACGTAAGCGTCGCAGTACAACGCACGATTAAAACGTGCACGTGTACGTGGGCTGTTGTGCTGCGTTGCGGCCGTAAATGACGTCACTTACAACTCTTTAGATTTAAAAAAAATATGTTAGAACATGCGGTCATATATGTGCATTACTGAAACATGTGAACATGATTTAAAAAACAATTTATAGTAAGTTATCAATTATATTCTGATTGCATATACAACATGGCATATGAATCACTGCTTTAATAGGTAATTTATCATCATTTACAAGATATATTTCGTAATGATATTTCTTTTTTTTTTACATTTTAAATCATTTTTACAAAAATTGACAGTTATACGTTGTGCAATATTGTTAATAAATCTATAACCCTTGGCTTGAACTTTTAAAGTACATTTATTTATTTATTTATTTATTCATTTTATTTATTTATTTATTTATTTATTTATTTAGTTTAGTTTAGTTTAGTTTAGTTTAGTTTAGTTTAGTTTAGTTTAGTTTAGTTTAGCTTAGCTTAGTTTACTAAAGCCTTCCGTCTTCTACCAAGAAAGATACGGCTTTACCCCGTAAAGCAAATATTTATACAACGTCAAATTAAAGCTTTCGGAACATTTTTCCGACAATGGACGGAAATGGCCAAAAAGTTGCAGCATACTTTATTTCTTTCATTTATTTCTTCGGGGGAAAACATCCTTAATTATATGTATGTCAGCTAACTGAAATCGGGAAAAACAACAACGTTTTTGACAATATGCAGTAAAAGCCCCGACTCATTTTTACAGATGATTAAACGTACAAAAATACATGAATTGATAGTATCAAACAAACAATATTTTTAGTAAATGTAATGAAAAGAAATATGAACTCACTTGTTTGCCGGCCATATGCGCCTTTGCGTGGAAAGTCTTCATGTTGACCATCATCTGGGCTAGTGCCATTGGTCGGTTCGATGCCCAGGGCCATGGAAATATCACCTTATGTTCATACACAGCGGCCCGGTATGTCTTCTGCGATGATACATAGTTCATTAAAAGAACACAAGTACACAGGATGCAAAAATTTAAACTTCTTATCATTTTTACAATGTCCTACCATCAAGTCCAGGAGACCATCTAATTTTCAATATTTTCCCAAATAAATGTCGTTTTCAAGCTCGTCGACGTTAAACCGTTACGGTTTTTTACGTTAAACGTATTACATCATTGTAAAGAACGTGAGCTACATTTTAAATACGTGATGTATTCACGAAAGCTTCACTGTTACAGTGTGTGGATGTTGAAAGGCGTTAAAGGTGAACTGGACCGCAAATTGATAAGCATATATTGTTTGTAAGGTTACAAAATGTACTACAAAGAAAACACAAAGAACAATAAAGCGTTTTGATGCAAAGATTCATTTATGAAGCGTCTAGACCGCAAGATCAGCGTTAATTGCATTTTTTCTCTTAATAACGTCAAAATAAAAAAGAAAACTTATCACCAAATTCAAGAAATGAATTATTCACAAGACATTTTTATTGTGTTTTGAATAATAAATAAATCCCAGAACACAATCAGTTTCGGAGCTTTTTGTTTTACACATCTCATGACTTTTTTCTACTGCAGGCGCAGATCTAGGGACCGCCACACCTCTCCCCCAAGCCCAAGCAAATCCAAACGTAAATTTCAAAGTTTAACTATTGTTTTCAAATTGAAATTAGATATTTGTAATTTAAATGAGTATATCATCTATTAGTCTTAGACTTCTATAAATAGATTCTCTTGTGTATCATAAGCCAACTACAGCACTGACTATTTTAAGATACTGTAACATGTTGTTGTTGTTTTTTTTCCGGACCATTAAATACTGTATAGTGAAAATATCGGAGATAGACGACACTGATTCTGAATTAAATTCTCATGTTAAATGGCAGAATAGTTTCTGTTTATTATGATAAACATTTGAGTGTCTGATTGCAAACATAATTTACCAAAATGCACCAGAATGTACCATTTTTCATCTCCATTTCCGCAAATTTACCACCGCCAGCGCGAGGGAAGACTCCTCCCATTACCATAGTACACACCCCTACTTGCAGCTTCTCGTACCTCTCCCCCGTCGGAAAACCTTTATCCGCCCCTGTTTTGTCTTCAAACATTATAGGTTAAGTACTTAGTAAGGTCATTGCCTTTTACAAAATACTGACATGAGGAAATATATCTAATGAGTGGTGAGGTCAAAAATATAAGTGTATAACAGCTGCTCAAATCTTGGAGGGGCAAATTAACCACCCACAAAAAAAATCAATATAAATCATACGTATTTTGCATGGACCATGCTACCAGACGGCGGCGACTACGTCAGATATTTACAAAGTGTATTCTACAAAATATTTAGACTAGTTGAAAGTACAAAAATATTCATAGTCACTTTTGATCACTTTTGCGGCTCGAACCACCCACCCTATCACTCGAGAGTTTGAGTTGGAAGTACGTTACTCCAGAAAATCATAATTGATTTAATTAAACAAAATAGCTGGATGGCGTCAGTGGGGTAGGGCGGCCAGAAGGCACACCCCGGATGTCATATTCATATAATTTATTACCCACCCCCCTTGTCCGAATATATTTATGACTGCTATTGTGTTACTTGAGTAAGTCGATGTAACCACTTGACTGAGCCAGCTACGTTTAAATATCGTTTAAATATCGTTTATAATTGGGGACTTATAATGTAGGCCGATATACACGTGACAAAAACACCTTTTTAACGAGTGGAGCCTGGTCAATCGGCATCCGACCACGGATAAATCCATGATCCGACTTTCTTTAGCAAAGAACGTGGATCATCGGCGACGATTCACTTTCGACACCGAAATTAGACGGAACGGTATGAACACGATATTTGTTTATTTATTTATTTATTTATTTATTTATTTATTTATTTATTTATTTATTTATTTTATTTTATTTATTTATTTATTTATTTATTTATATTTTTTTATTTATATTTTATTTATTTATTTATTTATTTATTTTTCATTATGGAAATTCGTGAAAATGTTTCAATTCAATGCCCTGAATCATCTTGTGATATGACAACATGAGATGCGCCACCCCTACCACTGACGTCAATTTTCTTTTGCACATTTATCAAGAATAAGTTTTGTCAGACTTATGTATACGCTTTCTTTCAGCTGAAATCAGGTGCTAACGTAAAAGAAATATGTCCACCAAATTGTTTTAAAAATATATATTTTATTGAATATATATACCAATTTGATTATTCACAATACAAAAACATGAGACAATTACATTTGTAATAATAAATGATAATAAACAGTCACGTGAACATGTGAGGGCAATATTGTATGAATATATTAGATGTTATAAAGATATGTTTAGGTATTTTAATAATGACATAATATAATACAATGAAAAGAAAGAGAAAGAGCACAATATAATCTGTCGAAATGTGCAACTGTGTCTGCTTAATTATTTTTTTTTTTTAATTTGTAATTTTACAATGCTTATGTATGCTTAATTATTATTGTTTTATCGTTTAATCTATTCTTGCTAATGATCTAATTGATGTTACACTTGATTAGTCAAGTTTGGCCCATCAGATTTTCGAGAAGAAAAAATGATAGTTTTGTATAATCAATTATTTCTTAATTAGAAAAAAATGCAACATATGAAAACAAAACAATACCAAAACCGCAAGTACGTAAAAATGCGTGCAACAATGCAAATGCAATAACAGCCATTTACAACTTGTATCAATAAAAGCAAGTTTTTTCAGAACATGACTTAAGGATTATGAACTTATGTCAAACATTATTTCTTTATAACATTATTTCGCAATAACCGTATTTTGTAAGAATTTCGAAGACGCCCTGGCCTTCTTCCTGATAGTTTTTGTATATCTATATCTAATACTATAAATGGACTTTCTGCGGTGACGCCTACATTAAGTAACAAGATAATCATTTGTTAGAAAACGAATATGAGTCCGAATAACTCGATATTTACAAGTACGTGGTTGTCACATTTCAGGCTGATGAATGTTATATAAAAAAGGCAATAAGACAAAAAAAACATCATGTAAATATTGCGGTTCGAACCACCTTAGCACCAAAAAGTTGAGATGAAAACTGCACCAGCGTACGTTATTCTAGTAAATCATTATTGATTTATTTAAACAAAATAGCTGGATGGCGTCAGTGGGGTAGGGCGGCCAGGAGGCACACCCCGGTGTCATATTCATATAATTTATAACCCACCCCCCTTGTCCGAATATATTTATGACTGCTATTGTGTTACTTGAGTAAGTCGATGTAACCACTTGACTGAGTCAGCTACGTTTAAATAACGTTTATAATTACTTAGTGATTATAAGTACTTTATAATGTAGACCTATGTGACACGTGAAAACAAATCGGAATTTCTCGTTTTAATCCGTCTAACTTCGGTACTGAACGTGTATCATCGGCAACATCCGAACGTTGTCACGTCGTCAATTCTGTAAATGTATACGCTATACTCGTCTTAGAACAGAACAGAATAAAACGGGCAGATACATAATAATAGATTAAAGAAAATATCATCCGGGCTGTTCGTCGTGGTCGCACTATTAAAATGACGCCAACCATGCAGCTATTGGTTTATGTATGTCTAAAAAAAATTTAACTTTTTTTCGTATAGAGTTGACTCGGTCTTAAATCGAATCATGTAAAAATTAGTTGTTTATTTATTTATTTATTTAATGTGTTCGTTTGTTTTTGTTTGTTTGTTTGTTTAAAGAAAAGATATGTTGTACATAATCAATTATATTTTAATCATCAGAAAAGAACATAACTAAAACTAAAACCGCATGTACGTTATAAGGCGTGCAATCACGCGAAAATGCTATCACATATAAAACGTGTATCAATAAAAGCAAGTGTTTTTTTTCAAGAACATGAAAATTAAAGATTACGAACCCTAACGTCTAGTTGTTTTATATGTACTTGATTCTTACATTTCATCATTCACCTTCTAAATTTCTTAAATGGACTTGTGAAGCTTCTACTTTTGGAATTGTCCATCATTTTAGGGATATCAAGATTATAATGAAAGTAAGTCAGCCTGGTCAAACTGCACACATGTGTAGACAGTTTTGTAGATGGGTCAAATGTTTATAACTGTGTTATGTGTTACAAAAAATAAGAATTCAGAGAACTGATTTTGCTTTTTTATAATAACAAAATCAAAAAACAAATATATACAAATGAAACTGATACAAAACGTGATACCTTTGCGGGTTCAACCGGCCTGGTATCGACAGGTTTTGATAAAAACTACATAAGTATAAGTATATTTCTCAAAATTAAACTTCCATATATACATGTAGTTTAATCTTTACGACTATAGATATCTGAAATGGACCTGTCCATCTTTCAATCTTGACCAAACCATTCATCATTTTTTGGTGAATTCCGAATACGTATGTGACAACAGACCACGACAGAATTATATATGGAAGTTGTTGTTAAGTTTGAGACACATGATCTGGTATTACCTATCTACATGTATATATAGCAGATAATAAATTGTTCTGGAACAAATTGTTATCATATTAGTTAAAATATTAGAGTGGCCAATATTCTACATACATGTACGTTTTTACATTTGATACAGAGTATCATGCTCGAAAAGACCATCGGTTGGCAATGACATTTTATATGTCATGATAGAACGCTGGTCGCTAAAGACAGGTTTAACTGAGTGTCATATCTCAGCATAAATTTTGATGTGTTTTTCTTATTTTTGGGGATATTGAGTAAGACCAGTACAATGTATGTGATAAAAATGTACTCGTCGAGCAGTCGCGTTTTTTTTTTCGGCGTTAAGTTACTTTAAGGAAACAAAGTGTGAAATATTTGTTACAAAAAAAAGATATACTCGCCACAAATGTCAACCGACGTCGAGGTTGCGGAAACAAAATGTCGTTTTGTAAGCAACGTTCTGATTGGTACGACAAAAATGACAATATTTGATGTAAAGTAACCGCAACAGCTATTATATATCATATGATTATATGATAATATCCAAAAGGCCTTCTGAGTGTCTGTAGTCAAGTATTATACATGTATATCATAAGCCAAAGATATAGGTATAAATCTACATCTGATGAAATATCTTCATTAATTTTTAAAACAGGGGTAAGGGGGTCATGATCACCCCCTGCCCCACCCCCCGAATTTTGCCAGTATGTCAAACTCCTAACCTTAACCCCTGAAAATTGGATATCAAATGTCAAAAAATGACACAATTTTAATACTAAATGATTTATGCTGTTGCAATTGTTATTATGCCAATGTAATAAAGAAATACAAAAATATGAGAGGATGACAAGCGAAAAAAAATATCATTTAACAATTGACAAATTATTCTTACAAAGCAAAGTTAATTTTGTTAATTTAGCATTTGAATGCTTTAAATGGGGGGGGGGTAAATCAAGATTTAACTATTGAACAACCACTGACAGATTAATCTCCCTTGATACAATTGAACTGCCTTTAAATGAATGATGAAAAATATCATTTGTATAAGTATACGTATATGCGTTTATTATTATCTGTGCAATTAATAGGTTTGCTGAATTATCACTTAATTTTTAAATTTACGTATTTTAAAGACATGGCTTGACAAAAAAGTGAAATATTGTTTCGGTTGAAATAAAAAGACATAATAATTTTTGTTGATAATCAGCCCATGTCTTTTTATGATATTTGCATAACATTTGAAATCAAACGTATCTACGTATCGTATCGCTTCATTTTTTCTTCCGTCAAGCTGCTTTCTGGAAAGTCCCGAGAAATCAGTTGGTCACTTTTCTACTATATACTAGCGCTGAAATAACGATAATCTTTTGAAAATTCAGCAATCATCTCTAATTAAAGTAAAAATGATTATTTTACAAATATGTTTGAACACTTATGTAGTGAAATGTTTTAATGGGAAATAACTCTTGATTTAAACTATTGCGCAACTGTGGACATATTAATCTCCCGTGAATCGAATTAGTATATCATGTACTTTTAAGGCCATTATACTTGTAGTCGGCTTAGTTGTGTGGGTACTTCGTTCAAATATTTGATACTTCAATAAGTATTTACTCCTGTTCATGAGAAAGACATCGTCTGACAGATGAAGAGGATATCTGGGGTGGCCCTCTGGTCACCCTGTCCCACTGACGCCGTCCGACTACTGTTTTTAAAGCGGCTTAGTCATCCTAATTTGGGTTAAAACAGTGGCAACAAGAGTGCAGGCGGGCAGTGGTTCAAAACTAGCCGTAACCCTTTTCTTTCTTTTTTTTTGAAAGTTTAAATACGCGCTTCAACCCTACAGGAAAATCTAAATTTGGAACCATTTGGTTTGCTATCTTAAGCTGCAACTTGCTCATTGAGGATGCCAAACGTTTGGGCTTCGAATCCCGGTCCAGGCAACAGAGATTTTCAGCGTCTTTTTTTAGAGAAGACTTTTTTCTCAAGAAATTTGTCAAGATATGCAAAGAAAAAGAATAGTTGCGTTTTAAAAAAGTAATACCTTATAATGTCTAGAAAAGAATAAAAGTAATAAAATGCTGATGCCAGATTGTGCACATTAGGGTCTATAAAACTTTAAAGCTGCGATACTTTAGAAATGAAACACTATGAAATTAATGGGACTTTATAAAGCAAGATCACACTGTTCATGTACTCAACGATTGTCATCTAGTTAGGTTTTACGAAGAAACAAATGAGTTTTTTCGTTCGTTCGTTCGTTTGTTCGTTTGTTTAATAAGTTTTCGTCTATCTTGTCGTGTAGCAAGTATGAACGATGTACCTTTCACATTTAATTTATATAACTTAAAAATGGAATTTCGGAAGTCAAAGTGAAATAGTTAATATTTAAATGCTAAGTATTTATATATTGATATTACTACATTAAACCAATATCTAAATCGATAAACGTACGCTATACGTTTGTTAATCTTCGTACGTCACAGTTTTATGTGCACAGATATTATCAATCAATACATATAGGTTTATATATCCGATTGTTAACCGTTGACTGGCTTAGCTTCGCGGATACTTCGCAATTACTTACCTGCTTATTCTAGGACTTGTTGATCCATCATCAATGGGGGTTCGATCCCCTGATCCGCCGGCGCCGTCCAGTCGTTTTTTTAGTCTTAAAACCTAAGATATGATGTATCAAATTAAGGACTAGGTTGAACATATATTGCTTATACTATACGAGAAAGGTTGTTCAGTTAATACTTTGAAAATTTGTTTTTAATTATGATATTTGGCGTGTTTCTCTCTTATTTTGAGTGTTATCTTGAGGTAAGGGCCAATATTTTCAAAAGTAGACCACTATTATCTTTTATTGATAGTTATGGACCTTTAATATGCAATATGATCTTGGTCTTAAATTATCAGTTGTGAACAAATATGGTCTTTCATTTTCAGTTGTGAACAAATATGGTCTTTCATTTTCAGTTGTGAACAAATATGGTCTTTTATTTTCAGTTGTGAACAAATATGGTCTTTTATTTTAGTTGTAAACAAATATGGTCTTTTATATTCAGTTTTGAACATATATACTCTTTTATTTTCAGTTGTGAACAAATATGGTCTTTTATTTTCAGTTGTGAATAAATATGGTCTTTTATTTTCAGTTGTGATCAAATATGCTATTTCATTTTCAGTTATTAACAAATATGGTCTTTTATATTCAGTTGTGAACAAATATGGTCTATTATTTTCAGTTGTGAACAAATATGGTCTCTTATTTTCAGTTGTGAACAAATGTGCACTTTTATTTTCAGTTATGAACAAATATGCTCTTTTATTTTCAGTTATGGACCACTATGCTCACGAAGGTCTATGGTTTAAGTGCCATCCTGTACAGAAAAATAACCATTACACTGAATCATGCGAGGACCCTACCGGTAGAAGTAAGTCTCAAAATAGTCTATGCATGTACTTTCTTTGATTCTATTTTGATAGATACGGAATAAATTCTTTTCGTTTGTTTCATTTTCTTAAATCAATCATATAGATTGATATTGGTCTTGTTTCCATCTATATTGAACTTGCATATAATTATGTTATTACTGTAGCATTTACAAAATGTACATTAAAAGTATTGTTATGAAAAGTGCTAATTATGTCCGTAAATTTATGAAAACCAAACATATATGTATATTTTGTCCATCAGATTATCTAGGAATTATATAAATATGCTAGCTTTCTTGACACATTTTATGTGTTTTTACTTTTCTATTTGTTTCATATTTTCATTCAGTTACTCTACCATATTGTTGTCGTTTGTTATTCTTCCATTTTATCAATATTGATTCATTCATTCTTTCATTCATTCATTTATTCATTCATTCATTCATTCATTCATTCATTCATTCATTCATTCATTCATTTCATTTCATTTCATTTCATATAATGTCAGTTATTGAATAAATCGTTCATTCAAATTTGTTAGTTCGTTCGTCCATTCATTTATTAATTCAATCATCCATTCATTCACTTATTCAATTTGTAATGTTATGTTATAAATCATTCATTCGTTTCATACGCTATAAGTTCTTCATCTGTCTGTTCACAAAACAACTTATTCATTAAATTAAAAAATGATTAATTGATTGATTCATTCATCAATTTATTCATTCATTCATTTATTCATTTATTAATTCGTTACTTGATGAATTTTCACGTGGTTGTGGGCGGACAATTAAACCGAGATTTTAACGCCATATGAGTATAGGAATTCTGCCCATACATAACAAAATAATGGGTAAAATCATGCATAAAAGAAGAAAAACATCTTTTCTAAGTAAAAATGATGGATAAACATCATGCGGAAAGAAAAATTGACAAAAAATGGATAAACATTTTGTTTAAGTAGAATTAAATAAATGGATGATTATCGTTTGTAAGTAAAGTAAATTAAATGGATAAACATGTTTTGTATGTCAAATAAAAGAAATTGATAAACACCGTGTATAGTGAATTTAAATGGATAAACATCACTTGCAGAGAAAATAAAATCAATGGATTAACGTAATGTGTAAATATTTTTTAAAAGAAATGTGTAGACAAAATGAAAATTGATAAACATCATGTGTAAAATACAAAAAAATGGATAAACAGCATGTGTAATGGATAAACATTAATTGAAAAGAAATTTTGAAAAAAGGATAAAATGATGTGCAATTAATTTTTTTAAAAAGCATAAACTTCATGTGTAAAGAAAGTAAAAATAAATTGGTAAAGAAAAAATATCTATGTAGAGATAAGGGGGAAAACATGGATAAACATGATGTGCAAAAGACAATTAAAAAATGGCTTACCATCGTGTTCAAATAGAGTAAAAACAGTGGAAAAACATATTGTGTAAAGAATTTTAAAAAGAGATAACAAATAGTGCAAATAAAATAAAAACAATCGATAAAACTCTAAAACAGTAAATAAACACCATATGCCAAGAAAACAAAAGCAACGAATAAATTAAAATTTCTAAAGAAAATAAATCAAAAGAAAAAAAGTCGCATCTAAATTAAAAATAGAAATAAACCTGAATTATTTATCGTGTGTAAAATATAAACAATGGATAATCATCGTGTGCAACGGAGGTAAAGCATAAAAAAACGTCGTTTGCAAATGCTTTGATATCGTATGTGGATGGAAATCTTGTTCCTAGAGGAATAAGGGTGCGTAGATATTTATAGAAGAATTTAGGACAAAGACGATTGACTTACGAGGATTGATGAAAAAGTTTTTGGCCCGATGTTCTTCCGGGAGTCAGAGAACCCAACTTATGGTCTTTCTTTTCAATATAATCGCTCTCTACATCAATGCACATTGCCCACCTGTGCTCCAACTTGTTTAACCCTTCAAAATAGAACTCTCTATTTTTGTCCTCAAAGAACTCATTGACCGCCTCCATGACACCTTTATTGCTTCCAAAACGTCTACCACGGAGCTTGATTCTCAGTTTCGGAAACAGGTAAAAGTCAGAGAGGGCCAATTATGGAGAATATGGGGGATGGGGAAGAATTTCAAAGCCGCAGTCAGTTGCAGCAGCCATCGCAACTTGGAATGTGTGAGCTGGCGCATTGTCGTGCAGGAGCAGAACGCATTGAGTCAGTTTGCCCCTCCTTTTACGCGCGATTTCTTGACGCAGACGTCTCAAGTTGTCTGCATAGTACGTATCGTTTATGGTACGACCTTGCTTAAGATAAAGAATCATGATTATTCCCTGACTAACCCAAAATCATCTTCCCTGCTAATGGTACCCTCTTGAATTTCTTAGGAGGTGGTGAGCCAGGGTGCTTCCACTGCACGCTCTGTTTTTTTTTTGGATTCTGGATCGAAGTGAAGGACCCATGTTTCATCCTCAGTTACGATCTGGTAGATAAAATCAGGTTCATCCTCGAAGCGAGACAAAAGATATATTGAAATGTCAAGCCTTGTTCTTATCGTCAGTCAACTGTCTGGGGACCCACCTTGCGGAAACGTTTGACATGCCGTAGACATCAGTCACAATTGACTGAACTGAACCAAAACATACCAACTCCCCTATCAATGCTTCGCAGGTCTCGCCTTCTGTCGAACATGACCAGCTTCGGCAGTTTCATCGTTGGTGACCTCTTTTGGCCGCCCAGACCGCTCATCATCTCCAATGTCTCTCTGCCCCTCTTTAATTCAGCAGCCCATTTTTCACAATGCTACAGGAAGGGGACTCCTTTCCAAGTGTATCCATGAAGTCTTCATGGATTTCCTTGGATGTTATCCCTTTCTTACAGAGGTACTTAATGACGGCTCTGATTTCAGCTTTCTTCATTTGGTCTAAATGTCACACCCTCTACTTGTCAAAGTGTGTTTTATGTTACCTAACTTGTGTAAAACCGCGTGTTACTCGGTTAGTAATCATCAATAAGATATTGGTATCGACGTATCGTGTGTAAATGTTACTGTAGTGGCTAGAAATATATCGGGTCGAGAACTTTTTGATCATACCCTGTAAATAAATTACATGTTATTATATGCCTTTGAGATGTAACATCATTCATTAAGACTTTTGAAAGATTCAAGTGCATGCATTCCGCATTCCACGAAGATGAAGTCCATAAAGATGTATAAATTATTATAGTCCGCAAAATGTATGTTGTATTCCTCAAAGATGTTTTTTGTGTTCCACAAAGATGTACCCCGCATTCCACGAAAATGTAGTCCACAAAGATGTATGTTAAAGTCCGCAAAGATGTATCTTGTATTCCACAAAGCTGCGCCATGAAGTTCACAAAGACATATGATATATTCCACAAAGATATTTCCTGGAGATTTACAAAGATGAATAGTATGATAGTATAAAACTATACATGTATATTCCAAAAAGATTATATTTTCCACGACAATGTATCTTTAAATGAAAACAAAATGAAATGTATTCCACAAAAAAGTATCCTGGATTTCTCAAGTCCATAAAGATGTATCATAATGTCAACAATGATGTGCCGAGTAATTTATAAAGATGTTCATGTATCATGTATTCTCCAAAGATTTATCCTGGATTCCAAAAAGGGTTACCCTGGATTCAACAAATATTTGTCCTAGATTCCATATAGATATAACTGGGATTTACACAAAGACCTTTCATGGATTCCACAAAGATGTATCATGAAATCCACAGAAATGTTTAAAGATTATCTTGAATTCCTTAAAAGTTCATCTTATATTCCATTTAGATGAATAGATTAAACAAATATGTTTCATGAATGCATTTTTTTTTACATACACAAGTTAACTATAACTGCCACTGTCATGGCGTGAATATCCCCGCATACCACTTTGTCAGAATCAACAGTGGTCATTTAGAGAGCTCAAGGACAACCTCCGTGCCAAATATGAGGGTAGTAAGCAAGTGCATTGATAAGTTATATATTCTACGTGTTTTTAGTGGCAAAGATCAAAGTGACCTTTACATTTGACCTACTGACCTCAAAACTGAATGAATGTGTAAGAGGCCGCCGGACATTTCAGCCGGTAAAGCCGCAGAACGGAGTTGGGAGGCTGCCTTGTCAAAATGCATATACTAAAATAAAGCATGAATTTGCGAAGTCTGGCTTGACTGCATGATGTGCAGTCGCATGACTTGATTCTTTACCACATCCGAGTGCGTCATTTTTACCATTTGTCCTCAAAGAGTTGATAATAATACCCCCGCACAACACAGTTGTAAGGGGGTATACTAGAATCAGCTTGTCTGTCCGGTCGTTCGGCCGTCTGTCCGTCCGCCGGTTTTTCCTTGTCCGACCAATAAGTTAAGAATTCTTTGACCCACAGTCTTCATGTTTGGTATTCAGATTGGTCATGAATAGTAGATGATCACTTTTGATTTTGAGGTCACCAGGTCAAGGCCACAAGGGCCTTGGCTAAAAAAGCTTGTCCGCCCAAGAACTTAAGAATCCTCTGACCCACAGTCTTCATATTTGGCATGGAGGTTAGTCATGTTTATTATAATTATGATCCCTTTTGATTTTGAGGTCACTGGGTCAAAGGTTAAGTTCACAAGGGGCTTGACTAAGAAAAGCTTGTCCACCCAATAACTTTAGAATCCTTTGACCAACAGTCTTCAAATTCAGCATGGAGTTTGTCATGACCATTAGATAGCCCCTGTTCCTTTTGAGATCACTAGGTAAAAGCTAACAGGGGCCTATACTTCAAAAAGGTTGTCCGCCCAATAACCTAAGAATCCTTTGACCAACAGTCTTCATATTTGGCATTGAGGTTGGTCATGACCATTTTGTGACCTCTATAACATCTGAGGTCACAAAGTGGTATGCGGGAATATTCACGCCATGACAGTGGCAGTTCTAGTAAACTTCTTCTGTTTATGTTAAGTATAGCAACCAAAGCCCCGGCTATATTTAGCCGTGTC